CTTCAAATTAATGGAGAAAAAGTACCTGATGATCGTGTCAAGACGGAAGTCAAAGATAAAAAACTCAAATTCACCCTTGATAATGTTAAATTAGATGAATCTGGGGACTATACCGTGAAAGTGAATGATGAAGTTGAAAGTAAACCAGTCGCAATCAAAGTGAATGCTGATGTTCCGAAATTTGTTAAAAATCTCACAATCAACAAAAAACAGTTTGATATTGGAGAAACACTTAACTTCGAATGTACTCTCAATAAACCATTCAATGAAATCGTTTGGTTCAAAGATAGTCAACCAATCGAACAAGATGAACATGTTCAATTCGTGCAAGATGGACCCAAACTTAAATTGATTATTAAAGACGCTCAACCAAAAGATCATACTGGTACTTATTCAGTTCAAGTCAAGAATGTTGAAAGTGATAAGGTACCTGTTACTGTTACTAAGAAAGTACCGAAATTTGTCAAAGATCTGAAAGCAAATAAGACACCATTAACTGAAGGTGAACAATTGATACTTGAATGTGAACTTGATATGGCACCATCTAAAGTTGAACTTATACTAAATGGAGAAATAGTTCCAAATGATCGAATAAAACCTGAAATTAAAGACAAAAAGATTAAGTTCACATTGGATAATATTCAATTGAACGAATCAGGTGATTTTACAGTTAAAGTGAATGATGAAGTGGAAAGTCAGCCAGTTTTAATCAAAGTGAATGCTGATATTCCAAAATTTATTAAAAATTTAAGTATTAATAAAAAGAAATTTGATATTGGAGAAACTTTGAATTTCGAATGTACATTAAATAAACCATTCAATCAAATTGTTTGGCTTAAAGACAATGAACCAATTGAAGAAGATGCACACATCCAATTCTTTGTCGACGGTCCAAAACTAAAGATGACAATAAAAGATGCACAACCTTCTGATCATACTGGCACTTATTCTGTTCGAGTGAAAGACGTTGAAAGTGATAGAATACCTGTAGTTGTCCAAGAAAAACCGTTAACATTTGTCAAAGATCTGAAAGCAACAAAACCAACGTTAGACGAAAATGAAACATTAGAATTGTCTTGTCAATTAAGTCGGCCATTGAAACCTGATGAAACAATTCAATGGTATCGCAATGAAATACAAATTCCTATTGTACAAGAGTATCCCAATGAACAAATTAATTTACAAATTCCAAATGTTGACACAACAATATCTGGTGATTATTATTTAGAAATTTCTAGTCCTTATGAGAAAAAACCATTAAGAAGTGCAACAATAAAAATAACAATCAAACAAGAAGAAATCAAATTTCTTAAACCACTTCGTGCATTGAAAAATCCATTGAATGAAGATGAAACATTAATACTTGAATGTGAATTAGATAAACCAACTTATAAATCCGTAAAATTTTCTTTTAATGATAAACCATTAAATGAAGATGAAGATGATCGTATAAAAATATCTCAAACAGGCAATAAATGGCAAATTCAAATTACACATGTTAAACAAGAAACTGATGAAGGTGATTATACAGTTACAATTAATGATAAACTTACTTCACCAAAAGTTAAAGTAACAATTATAAAACCACTTACATTCATTCAAGATTTAACTGTATCAAATTCTGAGCCGATTGTTGATGAAACAATAACATTTCAATGTGAATTATCTCGTCCATTACCAACAGGTGATAGTAAAGATCTTTCATTAACACTCAATGGAAAACCATTATCAAATGAACAAACAAGACGTTTAAAAGTTGATGTTAGTTCAACAAGTCCGAAAATAGTTTTAACATTATCAAACGTTAAATTAACTATTGATCAAGGTAATTATCAATTAAAGATTCTTCATCCACAAGAACTTCAATCACAAACGGTTAATGTTAAAATTCTACCAAAACCAATTGAAGTTATTCAACCATTACAATCTGATAAAGAAAATATTTTTGAAGAAGATACACTTGTCCTTTCAACAAAATTAAAAAATGTTCCTGAAAATCCAACTATTGTTTGGTTGAAAGATAATCAACCAATATCAATTGATAATAAACGTATTCGTTCAATACCATCACGTGATGGACAACAATTTAAATTATCTATTGAAAATGTTAAATTAAATCAAAGTGGAACATATGCTTTACAAATAAACGATGACATTATTACTCAATGTGATATTACTATTAAATCAATTCCACTTAAAACTGTTGTACCATTAAAAGTTCTTGGTACACCAATTATTGGTGGTAATGTTGAACTTCAAATTGAATTAAATCGTCCAAATATTCCATTTATATGGTTAAAAGATAATATTCCATTAGAAAATCAACCATCACCAACAAAAGATCAAACAAAATATCGTTTGAAATTATCAGATCTAAAATTAGATGATTCAGGAGTATATTCGATTAGTTTTAATGATGGTGAACTTAAAGAAAGTGTTAATTTAACTGTTGCATTACCACCATTTGAATTTATTGAGCAACTTAAATGTATTCCATCAGATGATATTGAAGAAGATTCAAATGTTATTATGCAATGTGTTTTAAATCGTCCAATTGATGATGAAAATATACCAGTTACATTACTTAAAAATAATAAACCATTATCAGCAGCTGATAATGCACGTGTTAAAATTGAACGAGATGGACCAACATTAAAAATTCATTTAAATAATGTCAAATCTGATGATGCTGGTAAGATTTTATATTTAGTTCTATTTACATTTATTTATATTGTTTGTATTAAACACAAGTATTTCATTATTATCAGGAGATTAATTTAAATAGATTTTAGATATATTCTTTTACAAATTATTCAATAAATTATATATCGATTTTTGTTTTCAAAAATTTGAGATAGAAAAGATATTGTATTTCGTCACTAGGCAATTGAGACGATTGTTGTATCATATCGAATGCTTCAACAATTCGCTTATTTTTTTCTTGTAGTTAAGAATGTAAAATACAACATTGAGTAAGATTAAAAAAAATCAGTCTCGATTGTAATTAAATTCATCTTTAATCGAGATTTAAATCATTATCTTTGTTCGAGATATTATGAATTGATTATTTTCTATTATAAATTCTATCCATATGTATTTATTTCTTACTTAGTATCTTTGACTTTGTTTTTTTAATTTATCTCTTTTGAATAAACTAATCAGCGAATAATGTCTATTCCAAGATGTCGAACTATGAATAGTTTCTTTTATTTATTAGAATTAGATGATATAAATCACTTGTTTACTTTAGGCGTTTATAAAGTAACCGTCGATAAAACAAAAGATACCAGTACACGATTAAAAGTTCATGATAAACCATTATCAATCATTGAACAACTTCATCTTGTTGATGCAAAAGATGATAATAATACTGTTAGTGAAAATTTACCATTTGAATTATTTATTCGTTATAATAAACCAGTGAAAAATGTTGTTCTTAATCGTGATAATAAACGTGTTCCAATTGATAAACATACTCAAATAATTTATGAAGATAATTCATCATCTGTACGAATTCGTGTTGATGCTGCACAACCAGATGATAAAGGAAAATATGAAACAATTGTTAAAGATTCAACTGTAACCAATAAAGATGGTCTTCGAAGTCAATCAGTTACAATTATTGTTAAACCATTACCTGTTTTATTTACTTCTGATATTCAAGTATCAGCACCTAATATAAATAATATTCCAGAAAAAACTGAATTAACTTTAACAACAACAATTAATCAAGAAAAAGGTAAAATTAAATGGTTTTTAAATAATAAAGAAATAAAAGAAGATCAAAATCATAAAATCATTGTTAAAAATTTACAACGACAATTAATTATAAAATCAACTCTTATTGCTGACTCAGGAATTTATTCAGCTAAAAGTGATGATGATGAACGAACAATTGAATTAACAATTACAGGTAAGTTTTACTTTGTTTTTTTTTTAAAAAAAAAAAAAAGAAAAATTCTGTGTTTTTTTTTTATTTATTGAAGAAGAGATTCGTTTTACAAAAGAATTAACACCATCAAATATAAATACAGTTGAAGGTAAAGAAAAAGAACTTGTTTTTGAATGTGAAACATCGAAACCAACAACTGTTCAATGGTATCATGATCAACAAAAATTATCACCAAATGAATTGAAAAAAAATTATCAAATTGAATCATTAAAAAATAATACATTACATAGATTACGTATATTACAACCAGTTTCAGCTGATTCAGGTTTATATCGATGTGTTTTACCAACCAATATTGAAACAAATTCACAATGTATAATTGAACCAGCTGGAGTTGATTTTCTTCAACATTTAACAACACCTGTACATGTTGAATACATGAAAAGTGCTTTACTTGAATGTGAACTTTCTAAACGACCACAAAATGTTGTTTGGAAAGATAAAAATGGAAAAATAATTGAAGATAGTGATAAATATGAAATTATGAATAATGGAAAATTACAAGGTAATTAAAAGTTATTCTTATTATTACGAGTTTTTCTTCTCGAAAAAAAAAAACAAACTAAAAAATTCGAAAAAACTATATTAGAGAATTTATCATCCTCTCTCAAAGATTAGTAAGTGTCTTTAAGACATCTTTGTGCAACTTAATTCTTTTTCATACTTATAGTCTGTAGAAATAATCCTGACAGGTTTTTATTATAAGCTATTGACTCGAAGCACTGTCTTTTGTTTTATCAACCATAAATGTTTAAAAATAAAAAGATTAAACGATTTTCTAAAAAAAAAAAAAATAAATTTTTATCTTAAAATAGGTCTTATCATAAATGATTGTGATGAAAATGATAATGGTCAATATACAATAACTATTGATAATAATAAATCATCAACAGCAGAAGTTATTGTTGAACCACATGAAGAAAAAGTTCGATCACCATCACCAAAACTTGAAACTCAAGAACCAATAAAAGCTGGTTTTCGTAAATTACTTCCTAATAAATTAAATACTAATGAAGACAATGATTTTATTCTTGAATGTGAAGTTAATAATCCTAAACAAATAACTGATTGGTATTTAGATGATGATCTTATTGATGAAAATACTCCTCGTTTTGAAATTATTAACAATGGTCCAATAAGACAATTAAAAGGTTGATTTTCTTTTTTTAAAAGAAAATAATAATAATTTATTTTATTTTAATTTTTTCTAAATAGTTCATAAAGCTGAATTAAATGATACTGGAAAATATACATGTAAAGATCGTCAAAGTGGTGAAACAACAAATAGTGATGTTGATGTTGCCAAAGCTCCTATTCGTATTATAAAAGGTCTACCAGAAACATTAATTGTACCTCAAGGTAAAATTTATAAATATAGATACATTTTTTTTTTTGCTTTCTATAATCGAGTTCGTTGATATTCATCTGATTCAATCGAAGGACGAGTTATTATTATAAAAGGAGATTGTTTTTGTTCTTGAGAAAATTTAATTCGATATTGTTGTTTAACTTGTGTAAGGAGAAATATTAGCACGGGATAAAAATTAAGTGTTATAAATAAATAATTGATTAGAATCATTTCAATTAATCTTTGTTTTATATTCATATATATTCGTATACATGAATATATGTTGATTGGACATATTGATAACATATAAAATGTATTATAAATATTTAAATGAATAAGAATTCGTTGAAATTTATTTCTGGATCGTTTTCGATGTAAAGAAATTCGAATACGATTCGTATGAATTTCAATACGATAAATAAGAAATAGAACAGATATTAACATAAATATAAATGGAATTAAAAATTGTAATAAAAACCATATTAATTGAAGTTTTAATGATTCGAAATAACCTAATAAACGTAGGGAAACATCTAATGGATATTTTGATAAAAGAATAAATATGGTTATTACGACACTACATGAGGAAAATACAATTAAAAATGGTGTAAATTGCCTTATCCATGTTAGTCGTATATTTTGAGAATAAAATATAAAAAATGTTCGTTCTAAACTTGCATATACTATTGAATAACCAATACCTGCTGATGCAACAAAAAAAGTTATTAAATTAAAATTACATAATAAACGAAATTGTTGCTCAGATATTATTGGTAATATTGATAAAAAATAATCTGTTAATGTATTTAATGGTGTACTTATTAGAGATAAAACTAAAGAAAATCCAAGTGAAAAATGATACACATATGTTAACTGTGTTCGTTGATAATTATAACGAAAATAACGTATTAAACTTAAGTATGAAAATATTGTACCAATAAATGCACTAATCCATGTAACTACATAATATTCGAAATGAAATGGATAAATATTAGTCGTATTAGTTGATGATGTTGTATTCATTATCTCATCATTGAGTACAACGAGATCATAAAAACTAATGAATAAAGAAAGAAAACTTTGGCAGAGATTTTTTTTTTAAAGAAGAAAAAAAAACTAGACAGAAAAATAAAGAAAAAATACGCATTTATGTATCATGAAAGGATGCACTTCTATTATAGTAATCAACGACTTATTCATAAAAGGAAGTAGACAAACTAATGAGCATTTCTGTCAGAAGATAATGACAAAGCCATACCAATTAATTTGTCATGAAAGCAATGCAGAAAACAGAATAAAAAAAATTCTTAATTCATCATGATAATGACGCAATGGGAATTTCAATAGCAAAAGATTGTCACTTAAATAAATTGAGAAAATTACTACAAAAAAAAAATATTACGTTTACCTTTTTTTTTTTTGTTTTCACATCTTAACGAGACATTTCATTCTAAATTAATAAATTTTTGCTTGCATTTTTTTCCAGGTGAACAATTAAAACTTGATGTTGAATTATCACATCCAAATATTCCTGGTTGTCGCTTTGTTAAAGATGATACAAATACTCCTATACGAAAAGATAAACGAACACGTATTACTGCAGATGGTACACATTATACACTTATTATTGATAATGTTTTACCTGTTGGTGATAGTGGTACTTATGAATTCATAGGTTTAAATGATACATTACGATCAGCATGTAAAGTTACTGTTAAACCTTTGCCAAGTAAAATAACTCAACCACTAAAAGATGTTACTTTACAAGAAAATCAAAATTTATCTCTTGAAGCACGTGTTGATAATGAGCATGCACCAGTAACTTGGTTTATTAATGGAAAGGAAATACCACCTGGTGGTGATGCACCACATATAACAATAATGTCAAAAGGAAGACGTCATACATTAGTTGTACAAAAAGTTAATGCTAAACAAGATGCTGGACAATATGAAATTCGTACACCTGATGATGCTAGTTCATGTCAAGTTACAATTGAAGAAGCTGGTACACCACCAGCGGATTTTACAAAAAAATTACAAAATCTTGAAAGTGAAGAATTTCAAACAATTGAATTAAAATGTGAAACAAATCGAGATAATCTTCCTGTTGAATGGTTTAAAGATAGTAAATTAATTGAACCAAATGAACATTATAAATTCGAAAATAATGGAAAAATTCATTCACTAATTATAAACAATGTTTTAATTAATGATCAAGGTTCATATACATGTCAAATTAAATCAAATGGAAAAACAACAACAGCTACATTAAAAGTTAAAGAAAAACCAGCTGATTTTGCTCATAAAATTGGTACGTTAATAGTATTAGAGATTTTTTTCAAGTCTCGAAATAACCTAAGCGGATCTCCCTTTTGTAGTGCAATTTTTTTTTTGTTTTTTTTCTGACTATTGTATAGTCTGAAGAAATGCTTATCTACTGAGTTTGTGAATCAAAAATTGCCTTTAAGCGTTGATAAATTCGAGAAATTAAATTAGCGAAAGCTACATAGGTTCGAGCTCTTCTCAAACTAACTTTTTCATGAGAAAAAATGTAAAAAAAAAACGCTTCTTTCTCTTTGGCCTAGTAGTTCCGATCGAGCTGAAATTTTTGTCATGCACTCCTTAAGATGGATAGGTTTTTTTATTACTCTACTGATTTTTGGTAGTTCTTATAAGAAAAGTTCTATTCATAAAAAGAAACATGTGTTTCTTAGGGTACCATTGATGTTTTGCTTTTTTTATGTGAAGGACAAAAAATAAAAACGATATCACCCCAACCAGTATCTAGTATTGATTAAAAAGACTTTGAGCTCGATCGAGCATATTACATCGGAGTAATGGCAGTGAAAATTCGAGCAAATTTTCGACATTGTGATGTCAATATTTTATAGAAGACAGCATTCGGGAAGCTTGAGTCTATGATAACTTTTGTTCTATTCATCAACATCTCTCTACTCTGTAAATTTCAAATTTTTTCTGATGAATTGTTGTCAAGGAACTCCGGAAAGAGAGAAGGAGCGAGTTCTATAAAGTGCACTAAGGATATTAGAAATTCTATTTTCTAAACTATTTTGTTTATTGAGGTCATTCTGACAAACTGAAAAATGAAGCCAGTATCTTGAACTTTTCTTGATTCGCATATTAGAATGCGTTGTAAACTTTAAATTTTTACTTCCAACAAATATTTTATTACTTAAATAAAATAGTCAAAAAAAGGAAACTGCAGAAAAAAGATATTGCGAAATACCCTCAAAGCTATTCATTATCATTTTCTTCATTAGTTGTTTTATTGCTACTGCATTTTTGGAACATTGTCTCATTTATTTATCAAATTATACACATTAGCTAGTGTGTGTGTATGAGGGTGAGAATGTACTTAGCTCGTAGCTAGTTATTATCCAAATTAGTTTCATTTTTTTTCTTTCACACTTTGACTAGAGACAGAGAAATTTTTTTTTAAATATTTGAACATTTAGTTTATAAATTACAAATGATTATTTTTATCTGCATCAAAATATACTCATGATTCTGTATTGTATTATCAATAGTATATCGGAAAATAGCTAATTTTATGTAAATACATGTTTTTTCCTATTGTTAGCATAAAAAAAGAGTGACTTTTATTTAATAAAACGATATCATCGTATTTCTTTCGATTAACAAAACTTTACGAACGAACCCAAAAATGAAAAACTCTGAACTAGACAAACAGAATTTTCGATAGAAAAAGTTCGTTTCGGAGGACTCAAGTACAAACCAACACTTCATATTGAATATAGACAAATGTATAGAAATAAAAGTAATACACAAAGTCTACTCTTTGCTACATCATGTTTGAATTCTTTTCAATATATAAGAAAAATGTATTTAATCTTGATGATAATCATAAAGAATGAATTTGTATTTATACTCGTCAATGTTATTAATAAAATATAATTTTGTAAATAATATTCTTTTTAGAACCTATTGATGCAATAACTGGTGATACAGTTTCATTTGAATGTGAATTAAATAAACCAAATATGAAAGTAAAATGGTTAAAAGATAATAAACCATTGACAATGAATGATCGTATTCAATCATCAATTGATTCTGAAAATCCTCATATACATATATTAACATTGAAAACACTCGAAATAAAAGATGCTGCTACATATACTTGTGTTATTGATCAACCTGTATCCAAAAAATGTTCAGCACCTTTAACAGTTAAATCTATAACAGTAAAATTAATTGAACCATTAAAAGATGTATCATTAATTGAAAATGAAAATCTTGTACTTAAATTTGATGTATCACATGAATTAAAACAAATACCAGTCATATGGAAATTAGATAATAAACCCATTAAAGCAGACGATGACCGTATACAAATTGAACAAGATGGTAAATCATATTTTCTAACAATAAAAAAGATTCAATTAAATGAACAAGGTTCATATACAGCAGAAATTCCAACACATAAAATTCAAACATCATCACAAGTTAAAGTTAAACCTGAAGAAATTAAAATTCTTAAAGATTTACATATTGTTCCTAATGATGAACAACCAGAAAACCTTATTCTTGAAATTCAATTAAATAAACCTTTACCAACTGATATAATTCTTCTTAAAGATGGTGTAAAACCAACAAGAAAAATTCCTGTTGAAAATCTTAATAATGGAACATATCGATTTCTATTAGAAAATGTTACACCAGATGATTCTGGTTTATATGAAATTCCACTTGGACCTGATCTTAAGAGTTCATTACAAGTTAATATTCAACCAAAACAAAAAGAAGATTTAGATTTTACTATACCATTAAAAGATAAAATTGAAATTAACGAAAATGAACCAATTCATCTTGAAGCTAAATTAAATCGTCAACCTGATTCACCTAATGATATTGTATGGTTACGTAATGGTAAACCTATTCCATCAACAATAACAACTGCAATTAATAAAGATTTAACAATAACATTAGATATACCAAAAGGAAATATTGAAAATGATACAGGAAAATATACACTTAAATTACCAAATGGTAAACAATGTTCAACACAAGTTAATATATTAAGAAAACCAACAAAGAAAGATAAAAATGAAATTCTTCAACCATTACATATTATTCTTGATGAAAATCAAACTGAATTAAAATTAAATGAAAAAGTTACATTAAGATGTAAAACATCATTACCAGTTAAAAATGTTGAATGGTATAAAGGTGCACGAAAAGTTTCAACACGTCGTGCAGATATTTTAAGTACAGAAAATTCAACTCAACATGATTTAGTTCTATCAAAATTAGAAATCGATGATTTAGGACAATATCGTATTGTACTAGATTCTGATCTTGAATCATCAATTGATTTAAATATTTCACAAGAACTTAGTCCAATACGTTGTGAAGGTGAACCAATTGAAGGTCAAACAATAACATTAATATGTAATGCAACACTTCCACCAAAACAAATTCAATGGTCACCTATTGTTGATCGAAAACGTTATGATCAACAAGATTTATCATTAAAAATAAAAAATTTAAATATTGAACAAGATTCAAAAGTTTTTACAATTACTGTTGATGGACAAAAACAATCTTATGAATTAGTTATTAAACCAATACCAATTAAATTTCAAGGAACTATTGAATTAAATCCAAAATTACCTAAAGAAGATGACAATGTTACATGTACAGTTACATTAAATAAACCATTAAAAGATCAAGTATTAGATTGGTATTTAAATGATCAATTAATTATTCCAAATGATCGTTTTGTTATATCAAGTGATGGTTTACGTTCAATATTAACAATTAAAAAGATTCGTCCACAAGATTCTGGATTATTAGAATGTCATATACCATTTTCAGATGAAAAATTATCCACAGAATTAAAAGTTAAAGAAAAACCATTGAGTATATTAAAACCTTTAACTTCTGATAAAGATAAACCAATGGAAGGTGATGATGTTACATTATCGTGTCAATTTTCAAGAAAACCAAAAACTATTGAAGTTTATAAAGATGGAAAACCAATTGATGCTGAACAAAAATTAAATGATGTAGATGCAACATTTAAAATAAATTTACCAAAAACAAAACCAAATGATAAAGGAAAATATACAGTTACTGCTGATGGAGTTGAAACTTCATATACATTACGATTAACACCAAATCCAATTAAATTTGTTAAACAATTAAAATGGGATAAAGAATCACCATATGAAGGTGAAACTGTTCAAGCTACATTTACATTAAGTCGAATACCAGATAAGCCAATGCAATGGTTTAAAGGTAAATTTATTTTTAAACAAAATAAAGAATATTCAATAAATACTTATATGAAATATGTCTTAATTACGAATAGATTCGTAGTAAATAGTAGAAGTTCTAGTCAATAAGTTTTTAGCAAAAAAACATCAAAGTGAACTGTAGAAATTTCTTTCAATTCAGAATCAAAATTAGTGAGCTTTTTTTGTGTATAAACATGCAAATCGTTTCTCTAAACTTTTTTGTTCTTTTCAAATTTTATATTCTTGAATAATGTTGTCAGCTAATCGATTAAGCCATTGTTGTTCGGTCATCTAGTAGAGTTTGTTGGAATCTTCTGACCTACATAGTTTCTTTTCATTTCAAAATCCCCTAGAGGTAAGAAAATTTAAAAAAAGAAAGCATTAGTAGCTTCCAACCGTTGCCAAAAGCTAAAAGAACTATTAAAAATATTTTCATTTGTCGTTATCCCAGCTTAATATTTTATCATCAACTGTCACTGATTAATGTGTCGGCTTACACGTCTTTTCTCTAAAGTATTGATAAATTTTTCTTTTAAGATTAGCAACAAAAAAAAAAAGACATCTTAATTTTTTGAAAATTGTAATATTTATCATAGAATTTTGTACAGCTTTACTTATTATTCATAGGAATATGTTGAACTTTTAAAGATAAATTTCCATAAATATATTTAGATAGTGTGTTCATGTAGAAAAAAAAATTAATTTGAAATATTGAAAACATTTCATATTGAATATAATATAAAATATTCTTCTAGGCAAAATTACTCTTCCAACAAGTTCAACACCTAAATATGAATATTCACAAATAGATTGTACATTTACTTTAACAATACCTTCAGTTGAATTAAATGATGCTGATACTTATACAGTTAAACTTCCTGATGATACTCAATCATCAGCTCGTTTAAAAGTTCTTGAAACACCAGTTAAAGTTCTTGTACCATTAACACTTCAACCAAGTGAACCAATACTTGGTAATGAATTTACATTATCTATAACATTAAGTCGTGATGTTAAAGCCAATGCTAAATGGATAAAAGCTGGTAAAGATTTAGCAGCAAAACGTGATTCAAGAATTTCATTTAAACAAGAACCTGATCTTGATAATAAAGGCGTAAGATATATAATGACAATTCGTGATGCTAAACCTGAAGATGAAGGTACATATCGTTTTGAAGTTGAATCAAGTAATATAAGTGAACCAAAACTTGTACAATTAATTGAACCAAAAATTCTTATTGTTAACTGTGATGAAAAATTAATTGGTAAAGTCGGTTCATCAATAACATTAACATGTGAATTAAATTTACCACAAGGTCATGTTGTATGGTATCATGATGGTATTAAATTAGCATCATCAGATTCAACACCATTAAAAACAACAGGTTTAACAATTAAAAATACAGATGTTATTAGAACATTAACAATAAATTCATTGAAAAAAGATGATTTTGGTTCATATGTTGTTAAAACTAAAGATGATAAACGTGAAATACAAATTGTTCAACCAACAGATGATGATCAATTAAAAGTACTTGAACATCCACCGAAATTACTTGATCTTGATCAAGGTGATGAATTAATACTTTCAATTGTTACAAATCGTAAATGTCCAATTGAATTTTATAAAGATAATAAATTATTACAAACAATTGAAAAATTTGATAAAGATAAATCAAGATATACAGTTACATTTACAATATCAAAAGTTGATTTTACTGATGCTGGAATATATAAATCAATTATACAAGGTACGAAATATGAATATCAAACAGAAATATTAGTTCATGAACCATATCAACGACAAAAAACAGATGTTTTAGAATCTGAATTACCATTATTATTTATTAAAAAATTAGAAGATCAAAAAGTTAATGAAGGTGACCAAGTTATACTTGATTGTCAATTAAATCGTTCACCTAAAACAGCACCTATATGGTATCGGGATGGAAAAGAAATTACATCCAATGATAATATTGAAATTATTCAAGAAGATAAGCGATTACAATTAAAAATACGTAAAGCATCAATCAATGATCAAGCAGAATATACTCTCAATGTTGAAAACTTACGTGGACATGCATTTGTTGATCTAGTAAGATAATTCATATTTATAAGAAATTTGCACGATTGTTAATATATTAATTGTTGAGAAAACTAAAGAAAATTTCTTAGAAACCTACGCCAATGAGAAAATTTGAGGTCAATCTTGATTCCAACTTTGTAAAGTTCTGCGGAGACGTAAATCGAACATTCCAAATACAGCAATTTATACAATGAATATCAAAGAATAAAAATCATCATTCAAAATAAATCTATAGCGTTCTATTTCGCTATCGAATAAGTAATTTAGAGAATTCTGACCGTTCATAAAAATGACTCCGATACAACAGTCGAATAGATATATCTTACAGAGATCGATACGGATAATAGAGAGTCGTCGAGAGATTTGATAAATTTTTGTCTTTTGGCAATAAAGCTCTATTCTTTGAGAACAAACTTAAAAGCTTATATGAAACCGTAAGCGAACACCTTTTATTTTCATAGATGATCGTATTTCTTTGTATGTAAGGCGAAGACGTATGATTGTTTATGATTGGAGTTGTTTAACTTGGATGATTGAAAATTTTGTAGAAAAAAAAAACGTCACCTTGCAAAGAACTTGTTTTTGATATGGTGAAACGATGACAAGGTGACTTTTGAGTTACATTACAAAGTTCTAATTATAAGTAAAATGAAAGTGCATTTTCTTACTAATTTAGATTCGATAGTAACACTGAAATTATAGTAAAATATAAACTACAGGAATTTTTTTTTCTACTTTTCTAAGAGTTTTAAAAAAAGAATTCTAACTATTAATATACAATAAATTTTTCTTTTCTAGTCAAGTGATCGTGTTTGGTTTACACAAAAACTTTTTGATACAGTCATTAAAGTTGGTTCACCTATAGTTCTTGAATGTAAATTATCAGTACCAGATACACCGATAACATGGAAACGAGATGGTCAAATACTTAATTCTGATCTTTTTCATGTTGATGGTCATTTACATACACTTCGTATTCCATCAGCTGAACTTGATCATAGTGGAAAATATTCTGCTCATTATAATGATGAAATTGATACATCATGTACAGTATCTGTTCAAACTGAACCTGTTTTTGCACGAGAATTACCACCAGAAATAACACTTAAAGTTGGTTCAAATCTTTTACTTGATGTTGAAACAACACGTCCAAATAAAACTGTTCGCTGGTATCGTAATGGAAAATTAATACCAAAAACTGGTGATGCACGTCATCGTTTTCTTGACGATAAATATGTTCATTCATTAAAACTTCCTAAAGTAACACAACAAGATGATGATGAAACATTATTTGAATGTGAATGTGATAATGTTCGAACCAAATGTCGTGTTTATGTTCAAACAGAACCATTAGTCTTTTTTAAAGATCTTAAAGATATTAAATATGAATTAGATGATCGTCTTGTATTTATTGTTCGTATGAATAAACGTCCATCAGATAATTCGCGTTGGTTACATAATGGACAACCAATTGAAACATCAGATCGTATTCAAATGACTTATGATGATACTGAACATGAAGCGAAATTAGTTATAAACAATGCTGATGAAAATGATCAAGGAAAATATATGTATGATGCTGTTGAAGCACGTACAAGTTGTACAGCTGATTTAAAACTAACTAAAATGGAATTTGTACAAGAATTAAGAAATCGTTCAGTTAAACAAGATCAACCAGTACAATTTGAATGTGAATTAAATAAAATTCCAAATAAAGTTACTTGGTTAATAAACGGAGAAATTATTGAAAGTGATGGTATAACATATGATTTAATAACATCACCTGGACGAAAGCAATATATATTGAAAATAAAACAAGCACAATTATCACATGCTGGAAATGTAACTGTAAGAGTTGATGATGAAATTGAATCAACTGCAACACTTGAAGTTAAACGTAAGTTTTATTAAACAGGCTTTGAAACAAGTGTTGACGTTGACAGCTTCTTCCTTTTTATTACAGACTGTACAAGATATTATTGATATGCGATCAAAGATCGTATATCAATAACGTCTTGTTCTAATATGTGAACTACTTTCTCATTGAGTTTCTGAAGAGCTAAGTAAGATAATGCTGAAGACATGTGTTTGAAAATATATAGAATAAAGTAATCTTTCTGTGATTAGCAAGAATAGCTACATTACGCATTCTTTTAAATTTGAAATAAAAACTAAAGAAAATGAATTTTTTGTTTTTACTTTTAGCTATACCAATTGAATTTGTTAAAAGTTTAACAGGTGCAAGAGTTAATGAAGATGATACAGTTCATTTTATTTGTGAATTAAATAAACCAAATATACATGTTAAATGGTTTCTTGATGGAGAACCACTTCCAAATGGTATACTTTTGTTTTTTGATTTCTCGTATTTTCAATATTACACTTTTTGTTTTTATTTTTAGATGAACACTTTGAAGTTAAAGCTAAAGGACCTTTACATACATTAACGATTCATAAAGTTGCTTGGAATGAAGGTGGAGAATATAAATGTATAGCTGATGGTGGTGCAAAAACAAGCGCTACATTACTTGTTAAAGGTAAATTAATAGTTTAATTTAAATATCTCTATTCATTGGAAAACTTTTTTTTCCTAATATATATTTAGCTATACCTGTAACATTTACAAAACCTCTCGAAGATCGTACTTGTAATTTTGGTGAAACTGTAGAATTTACTTGTGAAACATCAAAACCATGTCGTGTTGAATGGTTTCTCGGTGATAAACGTCTTTCATCACAACAATATGATATACAATCAATTGATAATAAACATACACTTCGTATACCAAAAGTTAAATTATCAGATAAAGGATGGTATAAATGTGCTGTCCAAGATGCATTTACTGAAGCCAAATTAATTGTTATTGGTAAAAATTCGTTTCTTTTCAATATACTATGAGAAAAACTCATCGTGAAAACTCGATAAGGATACTCTATTATCTGCAGTATGTCACAAGTTCTTGATTGAGTATCCTGCTGAGAATTATCTCAGTACATGAGTACTTACGAAGTGCATGCTCAGTTAATATAACATTTTATGAAAAAATTTTTCAGCAAGTTAGTAGATCGAACATTTAGAAGTATTTTGCAGTCAATTGTTAAAAACCTATAAAGTAACCAGAAGCTCCTGTGATATACCTTGAACTCACGACATTCATTACGAAAGTTTCTATTACAAACCTGTGTAAAAGAATTTCATTAGACGTACTCGCTGAACGCTGCAATATTTTAAGAACATGCTTGACTGAAAAAGTGTCTTGCTCTTGACTTTCGAAGATTTTAGATACGTTCTGTATGACTGTAATTGATGGGACGTAAGCTTTTTAATAGTATCAAAATATTCGCATTACAAAACCATAGATTTTATAGAAAAGTTTTAATCAAAACTTTTATTATAGTGCTACAAAACTCGATAAAAGATAAAAAATAAGAAGTGGATGAAGGTTTTCTTCTGAATAACAGAAACGTACAGAAAACTTTTTAGCCTTTGATAAGTCTTTTGAGCAAATTATTTTATACAGCTTTGTATAACAGATTTTTTCTTTCTAACAAATCTACACTATTTTAGTAAATGAAAGGAGATAAACAAACAAATTCTGTTTTATTTTTTCTATTGTTTAGATAAACCAGTTGAATTAGTTGAACCATTAGAAGATCTTAATGTACAAGAAAATGAAAGTGCAACATTAGTTTGTCAATTATCAAAACCTGATATGGATGTTGTATGGTATCATAATGATCGACGAATATTTTTTACAGCACAATCACGTATACGTGCTAAACAAATTGATTGTTATTATAAATTATTATTAGATGATATTGAATATGATGATCAAGGTTTATATGAAATGCGTTGTGAACATATAAAAACATCATGTCATTTAACAGTTAAAAAATTAGAAACAACGTTTCTTGATCATTTAAGAAATATAACTGTTCCAGAAGGAGTAATGAAAATTAAATTTCACTAAAAAAATTAGTTCTTGTTTTTTTTTTATATTTTATTTCTTTAGGAAACAGCTCGTTTTCAATGTCGTTTATCAAAAATAAGTTCAAATGTTCAATGGTTTAAAGATGGTGTAAGAATTTCACCAAGTGAACGTGTTGTTTATTCAGTAAAAGGTGATCTGTTAACATTAACTGTTCATAATGCACAAATTGAAGATCAAGGAAATTATCGTTGTATGGTTGATAATCAACATACAGATGGAACATTAACTGTTGAACGTAAGTTTTTCTTTTTTACTTTTTTAAAAATTAATTTTTATTATATATTTTTGAATTTTATTTAGCATTACCAGCTGTGTTTGTTAAATATTTACCTAAAACATGGACTGTACATGGTGATCAACCATTAGAATTATCATGTCAATTATCGAAACCTAATGTTCGAGTTATTTGGTTAAAAGATGGAATACCAATTGCTGATAAAGCTCAAATAAGAAATGAAGGTTTAAGATATAGTCTTTATATTCCACGTGATATTCAACCTGGACGATATACAATTCGTATTGATGATACTGATGGACAAGAAAGTAGTTGTCAAGTATCTGTTGAAGGTATGAAATTAGAATTTTGTGAAATACAATCTAAATCGAGTGTCAAAGTCTAATGGATAGAAATTTGAATCCTTCACAAATACATTAGTAACAAGTTATCACAGATATGATAGAAGAGTTCGACGGTTTCTGTTCGATTTCCAAAATATCATGTGGAATGGAATCTATTAAATCGTTAGATAGAAACAAAAAATTTTAAGTATAGCTTGAGGAATTTTCATTATTGAATTGTTGTGCTTAAAGATGCTACTTATGTCAGTACTTAAACAATATAATATTATTCATATATACTGAAATGTTGAATCTCAAGAATGAAAAAAACATGAAGATTTCTTGACATTGGTTCAAGAATTTTGTTATCTATCTGATGATATTTTAGTGCTAGTTCGGTTCTCGGTGCCAATTTTTTTTTAAACTGCCTAACTTTACGTGACAGACATCCTTAGTAATGTCATTTCTTTATTATGGATCATGACAAACGCTGTTGATATACGATCGAAGACTGTATATAAGCAACTTCTTGTTCTAATATATACACTACTTTGTAATTTCATTTCTTGAAACTTAAGTAAAAATATAATGAAGAAATGTGTCCCAAAATAAATAGAATAAAACAATCTTCATGTAATTAATAACAGCGGTTATCTTGTGCTTGATAGTTTAATTTTTATGATAGATTCTTTAACAGAGTAATAATGTATTTTCTCTTTTTTGTGTCTAATTAGATTTAGCTGAAAATGAACGAAAGAAACCACGTATTATTCGTGGACTTCAAGATTTAAGTTTATCAGAAGGTGAATCACTTGAACTTGAATGTCAATTTGAAGGCAATGATGTTGAAGCAACATGGTTTTTTGATAGTATTATGTTACGTCCAAATGTTTTTACAACAATTAATTTTAAACCAAATGAATTATCACAATTAATTATGAAAGAAATTTATCTTGAAGATGCTGGTGTATATAAATTACGTTTAAGAAATAAATATGGTGAGGTATCAACATCATGTACAGTTAATGTTCGTCAACGTCAACCTTCACCAGATCAACGAAAAATAAGTGTTGAAGATTCACCACCGAAGTAAAATAAAATATTTTCATGTTTTACAATTTATTTAATATATATTTAATGTTTTTTGTTTTATTTCTAATAGATTTATCGAACCAATATCTGATGTTTATGTACATCCAGAACAAGAAGCTAACTTTCGTGCAATAATCACTGGTCAACCAGCACCGAAAGTAACTTGGTATTGTAATTATAAAAAGATTGCAGTATGTATTTGAATTTTGTTTTTTTTTTTCTACTTGTTCATATGTAATTTATAAATTTAATAGAATAATGAAAAATATCGTGTTACTCAAGATAAAGATGTTTATGTATTAGCTATATCACGTGTTAATGAAAGTGATGAATGTGAATACACATGTAAAGCTGAAAATTCAGCTGGAGAAAAAACTTGCTCTGCAAATTTACATCTTATTGAAACACCTGTTGGCTCAAAACCACAACCGTATGTTCAATTTTTAATAGATAATTTTTGTTTTTTTTTTTTACATAAAAGAATTTTTATTTTTGAAATAGAACTGAAGAAATTGCTCCATCATTTATTCGTAAACTTCGAAATTGTACAGTCATTGAAGGACAACGTGCTAAATTTGATTGCTTTATAACTGGTCAACCAAATCCAACAATACGTTGGTTACATAATGGTGTACCATTAGATGTTGAAACTAATACAAGAAAATATTCATCACAATTACAATCAAATGGTAAAGTAACATTAACTATTGAAGATTGTTTACAAGAAGATGCTGGTGAAATAACAATTATTGTTGAAAATCGTGCTGGTTCAACACAATGCTCAGCTGAATTAAATGTTGAACGTAAGTTTTGTCAAACACGATCTAAAAAGATTGTTGAAGTATATCAGGTAGAAATTCGCACTCTCAACAGACCTTGATAGACACGTTAGAAACAGCTGATTACTGACATGACAAACATCGTAATAATGATAAATGACAGGCATAATCATAGAAAGCTATGAGCATTGACTAACTACAAGAGCAGATGTATGTCACAGTATAGTCAACACGCTTTCGAATGGATGATATAAGACAAATAGCCATTACTGATTTGTCTACAGTCATTTTCATAATTAGAAAGACGTCACAGACTCTGGCAGACGTTGTTGATATACGATTAAAGATCGTATATCAATAATGTCTCATTACAATATATGAACTATTTTCTTATTGCATTGTTGAAGAATTGACTCTAACGAAGTTGAAGAAATATGTCTCATAAGAGATAGAATAAAACAATTTACCTTTTGATCAGTAACATAAATTACATTGCGTTTCATATTTTAATGTCACAGGGATCGCATTATGAGTTTTTTCGAAATATAAATGCATTAATTATTAATTTTATATTTTCTAGCTCATCATGAATCAAGTCGTTTAAAACGTCGTGTAAGTTTTGATGTGCCAGAATCGGCAACACCATCAAGTAAACAAGGTGCAATACCTTTACCACCAACACGATTGTTATTAACACCACATTCAAAATCAAGTTTGAATTTAAGTTGGGATCATTCATCATCACATAGTCGAGCACAACCATGTACTTATATTGTTGAATTAAGAGATCCAAGAACTTATTCTTGGTCAACATATGTCACTTCATTACCAGGTTATTTATTTGATTTATTTTATTGAATTATCTATAAATTTGTTTTTTTTTTTCATAATTAGATACAAGTGTTCAATTACGTGGTCTTAATTTGAATCATGTTTATGCTATTCGAGTTCGTGCTGAAAATGCATTTGGTGTTAGTGATCCATCACAACCAGTAACAAGTCGTCTTTTAACTCGAGGTATGTTATTGAAATAGCGAGAGAAAGAAATAAAAGATTATTGTTTTTTAATTTAAATTAATTTAGCTGATGAACCACGCGTAGAAAGTGAACAAGAACCGACAAGTAAAACAAGACGACCATATACTTCTGCACTTGATGAATATGGTGGTAAGAAAAATGGAAAAAAGAAACTAATTTAATTAATATTTGATCATATTTTCCTTCAGGTACTCGACCTTCATTACAAGTCGATGGTCCTGATATTCAATATTTTCTTGAAGGTCAAAATGTTCGTATTACAATGTTACTTGTTGGCTATCCAGTACCTGATATAACTTGGTATCATGATGTAAGTTTTGTTCTCTTTGTTTTTTGTGTTTTCGGAATTTTGTTTTATCCTTTTATAATTAGGGTGAAAAAATTCCATTGGATGATCCACGTGTAAAATTATATAATGATCGTCGTGGTTACTCATATCTTTCAATTGATTCTGCTTTAGCATCTGATGAAGGTGCTTATGAAGTAGTTGCTGAAAATAAATATGGTACAGCTCGTCATACAGTTTATTTGTATCTTGCTGATCCACCAATGTTCCTTGAACCATTAAAAGATACACGTTGCCGTACACATGATACGTTTCGTCTTGAATGTAAAGTTGATGGTATACCATATCCTGAAGTACGTTTTTATAAAGATTGGCGTTTATTAACTGATTCATATCGTACACGTATACGACATATTGAACCTGATATATGGCAATTAACAATATATGGTGCTATTGAAAAAGATACTGGTCTATATACATGTACAGCTAAAAATATAGCTGGTGCAACATTATCATCAGCAAATGTTAGTGTTGAAGATAATCTATTAAGTATTCCAAGACCAGATTTAGAAAGACCAATATTGACATTTAAAAGAAAAAGATTTGATGAAGATTATGATATACTTGAAAGAATTGAACAGTAAGGAAAAATAAAGTTTATTTATTTGATTAAAAAAAAAAAAAATTCTTATTATTTTAGTGGACCAATATCATCTGTATATCGAGTTATTGAACGTAGAACAGCTAAAGAACGTATTGCTAAAGTTGTTCATAATCCAAAATATTTTGATTGGCTTCGACGTGAAATGGATATTTTATCACATTTACATGATTCAAGTATTCCACATTTACATGATGCTTATGAAACAGATAAAATGCTTGCTATTGTACTTGATAAGTATGTTCTTTTTTCTTTAGTTAATTGTAATTTTATTTATTAAAATTTAATTTCTTTTTTTTTTTATTAGTGTTTATGGAAATGATCTTCTTGAAAATTTATTAAATCGTCGAACATACACAGAACGTGATACAGCTATAATAATACGTAATCTTGTTGATACACTTAAACATTTGCATTCCAGAAATATTGCTCATCTTGATATCAAAGTAAGTTTGATTATTTTGAAATTAAAATTTTTTTTTTTATTTTTTCATCATTCATCTTTAGCCGGATAATATTTATATTGATGATCGTCATGATCCAATACGTGTACAATTATTAGGTTTTACAAATGCACGTCATTTAACAGGTACATCAAATGTTTATTCAGATTATGGTACACCAGCATATGTTGCACCAGAAATTATACATCGTTATCCAGTATCACTTAATACTGATATGTGGAGCATGTAAGTTTTCGTTTAGAATTCAAAAAGAAAATTTTATTTTATGTTTTGTTTGTTTCGTTTTTTAGTGGTGTTCTTACTTATTTATTACTTAGTGGTCGAACACCATTTTCTGGTTCAAATGATTTTGAAACATTACAAAATATTCGTAATGGAAATTGGACATTTGATGATCGTTTTTCAAATATATCACCTGATGCTAAAGATTTTATTTCACGTTTACTTATACCTGATCAACAAAATCGTTTAACATCTGAACAAGCATTAAATCACCCATGGCTTAGATTTGCATTACAACATGTTGATACAACACCTATTTCATCTGATCGTTTACAAGGAGCTTATTCAAGACAACTATATGATGTAAATTTTAATTTAGATTTTCTTATTTTCTTATTTTATTTGTTTTTTTTTTATAGCGTGAACATCGACGTACATCACCAAGACCATTACCAACAATAAGTGAAATAGCTGCAATGAAAGGTGATATTGGAGGTTATGGTGATGAAAGAGAAATAATATATGATGATCGATATATTCGAGCAAGAGCTAGACGAACATCAAGAGGTTAATTGAAAGACATAATTATCTATTAAAAAAAAATAAGTTTTTTCATTTTTTTTTTCTAATGCGATTTAGAAGTATCAATTGATGAATATGATCATGCACTTCATCGTCGACCATCATCAGCTGATGATGAAAACTTAACACCTGGTTCTTATCTTCTTCCAATGGCTGATGTTGATTTTGCTATTCGTATGCGTGGTTATCGTCGAACAAGTTATCAAAATCGTTATGCTTCTTCCGAATATCTTTATGCTCCACCAGTTGCACCAGTTGAACGTCTTCTTGCTCGTGATACAGTTAAAGAACGTCTTCATGTTGATGCACAAGGACGACGAGTTCGAGGATGTTCTGCTGTACCTCATAGTGGTTGTTCGATGTCACGTGAATTAAGTGTACAACCAAGTGGTACACGAGGAATTTCTACAACACCATCATTTTATGCACCATATGGACGAACAAGTGAATCACCAGCACATGGTTATGGTTTATCAACAAAATATGCAAGCACATCACGTTTATCACCGTTTCCAGGTGGTACAACACGTGCACCAAGTATTCCACGAGAATTTCAAGCACAAGGTTTTACACAAGAACAACGTGCAACTAGAGGAGAAGGTTTGTTTTCTTTTTGTCAATGAGATTATTTTAAAAAAATAAAATACTGATCAATAATGATTTTTCGAATAGGTTTTGCTGCTGTATTTAAAGAAAAAATAGTTGATACATCATTTATAATTGGTGGTACTGTTATATTAAGATGTAAAGTTCAAGGAAATCCATTTCCACGTATATTTTGGTATCGAAATGATGAATTTATAATTGAAGATGATCGAATACAATTTGCTCAAGGTGAAGATGGTCTATGTACATTAACAATAACACATTGTAAAGCAAGTGATATTGGTATTTATCGTTGTGTTGCTAGAAATCTATATGGTGATGCTTCATGTAAAGCAAGATTATTAATTGGAGGTAAAAATTTATTTATTTATGTATTCCAAAAAAAAAATAATTTATTTTCTTTATTAAGATGTACCTGACCGACCACAACGTCCCATTGTAATCGATATATCATCAACAGAAGCTTATCTTGTATGGAGTTCACCATTATATGATGGTAATAATGAAATAAATGGTTTTCGTGTTGATTATAAAGCACGTGAAGATCTTAAATGGACACAATCAACATTTTCAATTGAAGAATCAGCCTTAATACATGGTTTAAAACCATCAACATATTATCGTTTCCGTGTATCATGTATAAATCGTATGGGTATATCAGCATATTCATGGGCATCAGAAGAAGTTCGTACACTTGATCCAGATGCACAAAATGAAATTTTATTAACAAAAATTGATCGACAATCAGCATATCGTTTACTTGAACATCAACATCGTTTAGATGAAAAATCTCCAATAACAATTGATCATATTTTACAAGATTATGATAAACAAGATAAAGTTAAATCTTTAGGTGAAAAAACAGTTTTAAAACGTGATCAAAATCCATGGGATTTATATAAATTAATTGATGAATTAAGTAGTTATGGTCGTCAATGTATAATACGTTGTTCAGAACGTGCAACAGATAGTATTCGTATAATAAAAATAGTTGATAAACAAGATAATGAAACCGATGAATTTAATTTATTAAATCTTATATCACATGAACATATAATAACAATATTAGATGCATTTTTATGGAAACATTCATTTATATTAGTTACAAATGATTATATGGAATTATGTGATTGGATTTGTTTAAGACATAAATATAATGAAGAATTAATTGTTAAAATCTTACGACAAATATTTGATGCTATACATTATTTACACTTTCATGGTATTATACATTTAAATATAAATCCATCAAGTGTTGTTAATGAAAATCGTCTTGCTGTACATATTAAATTAACTGATTTTAGTTGTGCACAACAAATAGCAACTATTGAAGGACATAATATTAATAAAAATAATTCACAACCAAATAAAGAATATTCAGGTATAATATTTGGGTTTAGTTTAGTTGTAAGAAAATAATTAAAAAAAAATGTATATTTATTTTAGCACCCGAAATACTTAATGATGAACCATGTGGTGTTCAAGCTGATGTTTGGAGTATTGGAGCATTAACTGCTACTCTGTAAGAATTAAATTAATTAAAATAAAAATAAAAATCAATATAAATATTAATAAATTTTTCTTTAGTTTAAGTGGATTTTCACCATTTGCTGGTGAAAATATTGATGAAACAATTCAAAATGTTAGTTTTGTACGATGGAATACAAATGAATTTTATGATGATGTTACACAAGAAGCTGTTATTTTTGTTCAACAATGTCTTAAAAAATCACCCAGGTAAATAAAACCATTATAAAATATGATCCGCAAAGAATATTGTACTATTGGAATAGAGATTTACATTCATTCTCGCTCTTCTTAGAGACCGTGACAGACGTTGTTGATCACAGACAACATTGTTTATAAGATCCAAAATCTGGAAGTTAAAAATGAACAAAGACTAGGTTTTTTTTATTCTATGTAGATGAAAACACAGTTAATTTTCTTTTTCTCAAAGTTAAATTTTGCAGCCTATGACAATAATTCAGTTTGTGTATAAAAATTAAAAAAAAAGATATTGCATCAGAGTTTGTTAATTGTTGAAAATGTTTAATAGGCATGTCAGTTTAATTGTCCAAGACAAAGAAAACTTTAGGTAAATTCTATTTCATCGAATTAGGCATGCATGAAATTCCAACGTTTGGGTTTGGTCTTAAATAAAGTCATGTTCAGTTAATTAATAAACTAGGAAATAGAAGTAAATCGAAAGAAAAGTTTTCATAGTTGGCTACAATAAGTATACTGGCAAGGAAATTAATGATTCGAAAAGTAAAACATACCAAACTTTCAGAAATATTCAAGCTCAAATCGTTCAGTTCAAACTTCAAACTGTAGATCAGATTCACTGTATGCCTATTTGTAACGAAGAACTTTCACTTGAAGTCATTTTCGATGTATGTTTCAATATTTATTTATGCAAAACTTAATGTTTCCTCAAAAATATTTTTAAAAGCTGTGTGATTAAGAAAATATTATTACTAGTTGTTGGAGTCAGCAGAAAATACTGACGCTTGTACAAAAGTTGTAATGCGTTGCTCAAATCTATCAATATTGAGAGAATATGTACTAAAATAGATAGAATAAAGCATTCTTCCTGTGATTAATAACATTAACTACATCATATTTCACATTTTTAACACCACAACGATCGCACCAGCAGCATTTATTTAGTAGATATTTACATTATTTTTGTGTTTTTTCTATTATTATTTAGAAATCGATTAACTATTCCGGCATGTATTGATCATAAATGGCTTTCACTAGCAAGTGGAGCAACCAATCGTCGTGAAAGTGCAATATTTTTAACCGAGAAACTTCGAAGATTTGCACATGATTTTCGACAACGATGTCGAGCACAAACTGAAATACAACAGGATACAATTATTGAAATATCAAAACGATAGATGAAGCACAAAAATATTTTATCTTTTTATTCTTTGGTTTTTGGCTTTTTTTTCTTGTTAACCCGTTAAACCTCACTTTTTTCATTTCATTCAATTGTTTCATACTCTCATGCTGAAAAATCAACAAATGAAGAAATAACAATAATTAAGAAATCGATGAGATACAATAAAAAGAAGAAGGAAAACATGAAGATTGACGAACCACGGATGGATTTCTTCTCTTTTTTTCAACTCGACGATTTTCTTTTAACTTGTTTAATATAATGTGTGAGGGTCGACACAAATTGTTGAGATGATTAAGAAATATGTAGGATGATTAATTTGCTCCAAGAGTTTTTTTTCAATGGAATGGCTTTTGCTTTGTGTTTTGACGTTTTATTTAATCTTATTCATTTGTTTCATTTTTTTCTTGTGCTTATCTTTTCGTTACATTACAAAAAATAACAATAAATTCGAGCAGTTTCAAGGCTTACATATATGAATGAATCTCTTTTGTCATTAATATTTCAAGATTTTATAACTTTAACCTCATCTCAGAATAAATATAAATATAAAAAAAGATATTTTAGTATTATCTAGAATTTGAATAATACATATAATCAAGTAAATAAAAGCTGAGTTTTGGTTTGCCTAAATTATTTCAATGTTTTCAGTTATAAGGCAATAGATTCAAGTACTTTGTTATTATATTTTGAGTGTTGGCCTTCTAATGTGTTGGCAATTCGACATTTTTCTCTATATATGTGACGATATTGAAAGAAAAACTATTGCTCAGAAATAAAGTCACTGTCAAGTCATAAAACTATTATAAATGGCAATAAAAGTTAATGAATATATGCAGAGTATCTAGAAAACCATGAAAACATACACTCACAATTGCACATTTCCATCGCATTCTACCCAAATGAGCTGATTTTTTTTCTGAGAACATACGACGGTTTCAAATTTTTAATTCATATTTAGATAGCTTACTCTTTATTATATTCTCCATCTTTTTCATTTTTGTTAATACTAAGAAAAACACAAAAGCGTTTCCCAAATAGAAAAAAACACTGTTACTCTGAAACAACAAAAACATATGCATTCGAGCAAAAATATGTGCCTCCTCTCTTTCCTATGGGATGGCATATCGATGTTCTCCTTGAGAGCAGTTCACCAAAAGAATATTATACGAAAAGAAAAAAAAATATTAGATGTAACACACAACAGAAAAGTGGATCAAACAGAACACGGCACAAATACATAAATAAGAAAGTATACATAACCACCTCAATATGTATCATGATCGATGATCATGATATTTTTTTCTATGGAAAAATACCAGTAAACTCATGCACTGTATATCACTAAACAACTTTGAATAATGTTGCTCTTATGATTTTGGATTAAAATTGGTTCACATTGTTTCCGCTATTATTTTATAGATATATCTAAAACTCGAATCGTGGAACAAAGAAACACGATGGTGCGACTTTTTTCAAAGTCTAACAATGTGTATGAAGTTGAAAAACAATTGAGAGATCATTTTTATATGAATTCTCAGGCAGTATCCGCGATTTTATCATTGAATCAGAGGTTTGACGAAGCAGGAGCAGTTGAGGATTTACCACGCAGTGATCATCCGACAACTCTTCTTTTCAGAAGAGAAACTGCAAGAGATTGAAGAAATGACCATTCAAAATCTACAATTGTCTCATCGTCAAGCTGCTGCTGAAGCTGATGTTAGCTAAAGTAGCTACCAAGTGGCGATGAAGCTACTTGATCTCAACCTTATCGCTGAAATTGGATCGTAAATCTCAACGACGATGATTTCAATCGGCGCAGTCAGTTTTGCGAAGTATCACTTGAGAAATAAAAACATGATCCTGATTTAATTGATAACAGTTTTGGAAGCGATATAGATAAATTCAACATAAATGCAACGGTTAATCGGCATCAATGCAGATACTGACCAGAGGTAACCTACATATCAAATTCATAGTATCAAACACGAATGAACGGGTCGTTGTATGATGTGGAAAGACTCTCAATAAACTTGTTCGTATATTCTTTTTCAAAGATAATGTCATCGGCCCAGTATGCAACCAAATGCTGGTGGACTGTACATGATCCTAGTTGAAACATGAAGGTGTTTTTTGTTAAACATGCCGAAGTGAGGCTCATTATATTGTTATTGTCTACAACTAGTTGGATGAAAATTTCTTTGGCCATTGAATGGGTAGATGTGGTCCGTTGGAATGGCCAGCGCGTTCACCAGATTTAACATCATATGATTTCTTTCTTTGGAGGATATTTAAAGGACATTGTGTTCAGAAAATCATCTTCTACAAGTTTTAAGCTTCAGAACAGAATCAAACAAGCCTGTGAACAAGTCACTAGCGACATATGTCGCAAAGCATGCCATTCTGTTGAATAACAACTTCATAATTGTTTAGACAATGAAGGACAATGTCTTTAGCACTAGCTTTGACACATTATATATGGCACTTATCAGTTATTTAGCGATATACAGTGCACAGGTTCAGTAGTATTGTTTTAATATGAATAAAAACCTGCAACTCTCATCTATTTTCAGAAAAAAGTCAACTCCTTTAGTTAGAGCGCAGTGAAGATATTAAATTTTTAGTCTCTGTTTCGACTGAAGAACAATACGCGAACAGCATTATTTATACATACTTAGGGTGTACCAAAAGTTCTGATCACCATGTTTAAAAGACTCTTTCGATAAGGCGTCCTATTCAAAAATGAGAAACCAAGTATACTATGTTGTAGAGTTTTTCGAGATGCATCTAATGGTATATAGTAAATTCTATTTTCATAAGACTCTGAAAGAATTAGAATCAATTTACTGATAGGCGACTACACATTCACACATGCATCCATCCATATTCACATCCACAAGATGATCGGAGATGCTACGCATATGAGATTGTAGTCCTTTAAAAGTTCTACAAAGTCATATGTGAGAAAAGGCATTTTACAAATATTTTTGATTCATAGCAAGGACAACAATATTCATTAATTTATCATTGTTGAGTATAGGTGCTAGTATGGATGCATGTGGATATGTAGTCGTCTATCAGTAAATTGATTCTAATTCTTTCAGAGTCTTATGAAAATAGAATTTACTATATACTACTCGATGCATCTCGAAAAACTCTACAACATGGTGTATTTGGTTTCTCATTTTTGAATAGGAAACCTTATCGAAAAAGTCTTTTAAATATGATGATCAGAACTTTTGGTACACCCTAAGTACACAAGAAAACAGAACAGAGAAAAGAGAAAGAGAAAAAGAAAAGAATGATGATACAGAGAGCAATAGTTCACATTGGTTAGTATATGAATCAAAATTTCGTCACACAGAGTACAGTCAGTAGCATATATACCTGCAAATTATGTATTATCGTTTGAAATATATTTGATTGAGTAATTTAGTTGTGTATTAAACATCAAGATTAGCATAGTAAGCTCACTATTCTTTTGATAAACAAATCTCCCACTAAGAAAACAATAGACAGATATGAAAAGCCAACAAAAATAATTTAATCATTTGAACATTGGTTGTATGGATGGTGACTGCGATATTTAGTCAAAACCCATAATTTACCGCGTGTTTATTTCAAAAGAGTATTTAGCGATGTTGATAAATTATTTGGCTGCGGGAGAGCTAAACATATCAAATGTTGTATACTTGATGAATAAGTTTTGCATAAATTTGCTTGTCGAAGAGTATTCATAAGAGTTATAAGAAGTTCGTTAGTTGAAGTATTTGTATATAGATGAAGAGCTAAAGAATTTTGGTCATCTCGTGATTAAAAACTTTGTTTAATAAAATCAAATTGTCATTTGGTGGATCATTATCAAAACTCTTCACGAAAGACTTCTTTTATAAAAGTCGCTGTTTGTTATAATGTTCAGCATTCTTCATAGCCAATGAATGTTCTGTCTTCATTTTCCCTAGATCTATGACTTCTATACACAACAAAATGTTAGACACCATCAGACTTGTTTTAATTATTATCTACTAAAAATAAAACAACCAACGTTCACCAGAAAAATAAAAAGAAATTTTTTTTTGAAAATTTTATCCAGTTGGTACTTGAGCTACACTTTCATGTTCTCGGATATGGTGAGCGAAGAGCTTGTTCAAGGTTTTGTTTAATAGTAATAAGCCTCGTCTACACTACAATATTCATATAGTATTATCTCAATATTAAATTGATGCACGGCTTCACTTAGGAGGTATGCACCAAACAGAATCGAGAAAGTGCCTCAATCATATATACATAATGCATAGAAGCAGCACACTACTACAGAATGAAATGCTGCTGTGTTTAGATTAATAATCGAGAAGCTGCTACAGTATAAATAGAATAAAGAATTCTTTTGTCTTATAAAAAGATACTAGCGTCTTATTTATTTACTGTTGAATATTTTAACAACAAAATTGATAAACCTGTTAATATTACCCTAAAACTGCGATACATCTAGTTTCCTAGACCATAAGATCAATGAATATGCGCAGATCTTGCGATTGTCTACTAAATATATTAAAAATTTTCGTATTTATGTTACATGTAGAAAATAGTCTCGAATCTATTATCAGACACAATTTTTATTTTGAAATAATGTTTTAAAGCACTCCATGTAATCTAGAATAAATGAGAAACCTTCAATTAGAAGTAGGTTTATACTATGGTGGTACGAGCTAGGATCTTCCAATCAGTTTCAACAGCATGGTAAGTACCAACACAGATGTTGTGTGAAATACAGGCAGCTTTTATTATTTTTTTGACGTTTTAAAGATCGATTACCACTTTTTTATATGTATCTAAACTAATTTTTTAGGATGTCCAAGTGATCTTTCAATCATACATCGGCTTCGACTAAGTCGACAGTTAAATAACGATTAATGTTGATGCATATTTAGACGTTCTGTCTATGGCTTCATTCAGTTTTTACTTAATAGAAATGCAGAGTCAGCTATCAAATGAGTT